GTGGCTTAGTCGGTTAAGCATCTGCCTTCTGCTCAGGTCATGGTCCCAGGGTCCTGGGATTGAGCCCTGCATTGGGCTCCTTGCTCAGCAGGGAGTCAGCTTCTTCCTCTCCCTCTGCTGCTCCCCCTGCTTGTGCTCTCTCTCTCTCTCTCTGTCAAATAAATAAAATCTTAAAAAAATAAAAAAATATCATTTAAGGGTAGACTGTGCTACATTAAAGATATTTACTGTAAACCCTAAAGTAACCATAAAAATAACAAAGAGTTTTGGGGTGCCTGGCTGGCTCAGGTGGTGGGGCAAATGACTTTTGATCTCAGGGTCATGAGTTCAAGCCCCACATTGGGCCTAGAGCCTACTTAAAAATAATTAAATGTTAAAAAAAGCACAACAAGGAGTTTTAGCTAATATGCCAGCAAAGCAGATATAATGAAATTATAGAAAACATTCATTTAATCCAAAAAGCAGAGAACATGAACAAAGAATGGATGTTAAATATAGAAAATAAGATGATAAATATCAACTTAACCATATCAGTAGTCACATTAAATGTAAATGTCTAAATATCCCTATTAAAAGGCAGAGATCATCAGATTGGATAAGAAAGCAAGATCCAACTGTATGTTGCTTACAAGAAATGAACAGTAAATTTTAAAAGAAAAGATATAATGTGTTCACACTGGTCAAAAGGAAGCTGAAGTGGCTATATTAATTTTAGGTGAAGGGGATTTCAGAGCAAAGACTATCACCAGAGCTAAAGAAAGTCATTTTGATAATGGGATAAACTCATCAGAAGAAAATAATAACCATAAACATTTATGTACCTAATAACACAGATTCAAAATGCATGAAGAAAAACTGGTAGAACTGTGAGGTATAATAGACAAATCTACAGTTACAGTTGAAGATTTTGGTACCCTTTTCTCATTAATTGATATACTAAATAGAAAGTAAGAATATATAAGATTTGAATAAAACTGTCAACTTGACCTAATCTGGCACTTATAGAACGCTCCACCCAACAATAGTGGAATATACATTCTTTTTAGGTGTACATGGAACATTTATCAAGATAGAGCATATTCTAGGTCATAAAACAAGTCTCAATATATTTAGACAAATTCGTTTTACAAAGTCTGTTCTTTGACTACAGAGGAATTAAAGTAGATATCAGGAATGGAAGGATTGCTGGGAAAGCCTCAAACATTTGGGAGCCAACTAACATACTTCTAAGTAGTCCAGTAGGTCAAAGAAGAAATCAAAAGAGAAATAAAGTATTTTGAGCTGAATAAAAGTGAAAACACAATATATTAGAATTAGTAGGGTGCTGCTAGAGCTGCATTTAGGGGGAAATTTATAGTCCTAAAATGCCTATTTTAGAAAGAAGAAAGGTCTCAGATTAGTGATAGCCAAGCCTCCCTAAATTACAAAAAATTAAAAAAAGAAGAGCACATGAAACCAAAGTAAGTAGGAGAATGGGAATAGTAAAAACAGCAGAAATCAGTGAATTAGAAAATAGAAACACAATAGGGAAAACCAGTGAAACTGAAAGCTGGTTCTTTGAGATGGATAAAATTGGTGAATCTTTAGCCAGATAGAACATTTTTATTTATTTTTATTTTTTATTGTTATGTTAATCACCATACATGACATCCTTAGTTTTTGATGTAGTGTTCCATGATTCATTGTTTGTGCATAACACCCAGTGCTCCACGCAGAATGTGCCCTCTTTAATACCCATCACCAGGCTAACCCATCCCCCCACCCCCCTCCCCTCTAGAACCCTCAGTTTGTTTTTCAGAGTCCATCGTCTCTCATGGTTTGTCTCCCCCTCCGACTTACTCCCCTTCATTCTTCCCCTCCTGCTATCTTCTCTTTTTTTTCTTAACATATATTGCATTATTTGTTTCAGAAGTACAGATCTGTGATTCAACAGTCTTGCACAATTCACAGCGCTCACCGTAGTACATACCCTCCCCAATGTTTGTCACCCAGCCACCCCATCCCTCCCACCCCCCACCACTCCAGCAACACTCAGTTTGTTTCCTGAGATTAAGAATTCCTCATATCAGTGAAGTCATATGATACATGTCTTTCTCTGATTGACTTATTTCACTCAGCATAACACCCTCCAGTTCCATCCACGTCGTTGCAAATGGCAAGATCCTTTTGGCAAGATTCCTTTTGATGGCTGCATAATATTCCATTGTGTATATATACCACATCTTTATCCATTCATCTGTTGATGGACATCTTGGCTCTTTCCACAGTTTGGCTGTTGTGGACATTGCTGCTATAAACATTGGGGTTCACGTACCCCTTCGGATCCCTACATTTGTATCTTTGTGGTAAATACCCAGTAGTGCAATTGCTGGATCGTATGGTAGCCCTATTGAGATAGAACTTTTTTTTTTTAAAGATTTTATTTATTTATTTGAGAGAGAGAGAATGAGAGATAGAGAGCACGAGAGGGAAGAGGGTCAGAGGGAGAAGCAGACTCCCTGCTGAGCAGGGAGCCCAATGCGGACTCGATCCCGGGACTCCAGGATCATGACCTGAGCCGAAGGCAGTCGCTTAACCAACTGAGCCACCCAGGCGCCCAAGATAGAACATTTTTAAAAATGTACTGTTAGAATTAACATCCCAGTGTCAGAAAAGTATTCTACATTTCATTTTTATAAAGTTTTATATTTTTAGGGGCTCCTGGGTGGCTCAGTCATTAAGCATCTGCCTTCGGCTCAGGTCATGATCCCAGGGTCCCGGGATGGAGCCCTGCATTTGGGCTCCCTGCTCGGCAGGGAAGCCTGCTTCTCTCTCTCCCTCTCCCACTCCCCCTGCTTGTGTTCCCTCTCTTGCTGTGTCTCTCTCTGTCAAATAAATAAATAAAATCTTTAAAAAAAAAAGTTTTATATTTTTAGATTGTGTAAGTTGTTCAAAGGCACCAATTACTGTATCTTAATTGGGAGAACTTATTTCTGTTTTTGAAAGAGCTACAGTTTATCAGAGAAAGATTGGGCAAATGTTATAGGTATGGCACAATTTCATAGCTTAATTCATTTAACTTAGCTGTGGTGGTTTGTGATGTGTAGTTGAGTGTTGTTGTGAAAAGGTATAGGTCCATGTCTGTTAACAAGTATATGCTCTTTTTGGATGAATTTTTTATGCATCTTTCAGTTTTTTGATAATACATTATTGCTGTTTACCCAGGCGCCCCTAAGAGAGCTATGACTGTTTCTCTGAGGAGGAGAAAACTTAGTGGCGATGTTTGAGTGACCCTTAGTGAAATAAGGAACAGATTTATTGTAGATACTGTAAGCAAGGACAGTTGTGAATGTTAAAGGCCAGAGCATTAGATTTCTACTTATAAAAAAGGAATAGGGGTCCCTTGGTCGCGTAGTAGGTTGAGCATCTGACTCTTGGGTGTCGGCTTGGGTTGTGATCTCTGTGTTGTGGGATCAAGCCCTGTGTTGGGCTCTGCGCTCAGCACCCAGCCTGCTTAAGACTCTCTCTCTCTCCCTCTGCACCTCCTCCCCAGGCTCTTGCTCTCTCTCTCTCAAATAAATAAATCTAAAAAAAGAAAAAAGGAATAACCTTTTAACAGAAGATAAAATGATATGACTCAATGTAATAACCTCCCTTTTAGTCCTTGAGAGTATTCAAGCAGTGGCTGGATCCTTGAACAATGAATGCCCTCATTGGGACAGTGGTTTAATTTGATCACCTTTAAAGTTATTATGATTCATAAGATTATATAACTACTTGGCCTTTGCCAATGAATTCTTTTTATTTCTGTGATAAACAGAGAAGGAAAAACATGGGAAAAAATGCAGCACTTGGTGTCACTATCAAACAGGAGAATTAGGATGTTTGCTTGCCATGACGGGAAGATGTTAATTCTGTTTTTTTTTCTTGGAGCTATGTCAGGACTTCACATAGGGAATCTAGAGATAAGTTGTGTGTGTATACATCTGTACATACACACATACAGACTCAGATTATATAGTGCCTATATATGTGTGTATAAATATATGTGAGTATGAATGTGTATATGTATGTTTATACATAAATATGTGTGGATGGATATATATATATATATATATGGAGCCTCAAACATAAATATGTGTAGATGGATTATATATATGTGTGTGTGTGTGTGTATTATATATATACATATAATATACACATGTTATAATTTAGGGCTATTTTCTGCCACATATGAATTTTTACTTTTGGAGTAGAATACCTTTTTTTTTCTTTAAGATTTTTTATTTCTTCATTTGAGAGAGAGTGAGCGAAAACACAAGTGGGGGGAGGGGCAGAGGGAGAGGGAGAAGAAGACTCCCCGCTGAGCAGGGAGCCTGTCACCGGGCTCCATCCCAGGACCCTGAGATCACGACCTGAGCCGAAGGCAGACACTTAACTGACTGAGCCACCCAGGCGCCCCTAGAATACCTGTTTTAAAATGGTTTTTACCATATTATTTTTTTAAAGAATCATTTACTATTTTTCTTTTAACTCTTTATACCTAATATGAGAAGAGTGCTGACCTTGGCTTTGACTTCCTGACCACAGTGCTCTATCTTACTGCCATCTTACTTGCTTCTCTGAAGAACAGGAAATTACCAAAATGATACCAATCATTTCAATCCAATACTGGGTTAACTGTTTTTGTCATAGTTTTCATATTTATTAAATAATGTTGTATTCACAAAATTTCTCTTTTCTTAGTACCTCTTTTGTCACCTAAACAAAGGTTGATAAGGCTATTATAAATACATAATTTTTATTAGTAAAATTTCCTCAGTTTACTTTTAGTAAACTTTTATTAAACATAGATCACATCTTGTATTTTCTATTTAAAATTGAGGATGGAATGAAATGGAAATTATAAGGGGAGTGAATTGGACATTTCTGTTCATCTGTATAGCAATCTTCTGGCTTTATTTATTAATCCTCTGCACTCGTTTCTTCTTCTGGATTAATATTTGTTTTCTTTTTGACAGGCAGTGATGGTTTCAGAAGACTTTAATATAGAAGCTCCCAATTATTTGTCCAAGGAATCCGAAGTTCTGATTTATGCCAGACAAGATTCACAGTGCATTGACTGTTTCCAAGCTTTTTTGCCTGTGCACTACCGCTATCATCGGCCACATAGTAAAGATGGGGAAACCTTGATTGTGGTCAATAACCCTGATTTATTGATGTATTGTGACCAAGGTGAGGGTTGCAAGTCTTTTCTGAGGGTTGAAAATAAAAATAAAGGTATGGTGGCGAGTCTGAAGTCAAGGACAGGGATGACAAAAGCAGGTTTCTTTTTTCTTTCTTTTTTAACTTTTTTTTTTTAAGATCTTATTTATTTATTTGTCAGAGAGAGAGAGAGAGAGCGCGCACACAAGCAGGGGGAGAGGCAGGCAGAGGGAAGCAGGCTCCCTGCCAACCAAGGAGCCTGATGTGGGACTTGGTCCCAGGACCTTGGGATCATGACCTGAGCCAAAGGCAGATGCTTAACTGACTGAGCCACCCAGGCGCCCCTCTTTTTTTTTTTTTTTTAACTTTTTGATCATAAAATACACCATAGATATAAGAAAACCTCATAAGCAAATATTTTAGTAAATTATTATAAGGCAAATACCCTTGTAAAGAGCTTTGCCAGTCACCCTAGCAGCGGCTCTCTGTGTCTTGTCTCAGTCATAGCCTCCTCCTTTCCTCTCAGACTAACCCATATCCTGACTTAATCACTTGCTAATGTTTCTTTATACTTTTTTCGCCCAAGTGGGTATTCTTAGATAGTAAAGCCTCTTCCCCATTTAAAGAAATGTATTTCCATTAAGTCTCTTAATTTACAGGTTTCCCCTCTTCCCCTTTCTTTTTTTTTTTGATTCACCTGTCGAGAAACCTGGGCCATTTGACCTGTCTAGTTTCTTGTGGCTGGGGTTATGGTGATTGTACTCATGCTGTTCATCTAGCTTCTTTATTTCTGGAAATTGGCTGCTGGCTCCAGAGGTGTGATCAGATTCAGCTTTGATTGTTTTGACAAGACTATAGGTGGTGCTGTGTTCTTGTAGGACTACGCATATAATGTCTGGTGTGTTTCTTTTTTTGACCATTGATCCTCTGCCCCTGTGTTACTTTCTGTTTCTTCATGCTGATTTGCTGCACTTGCAGCTGTTGCTGTTTTGTCTCCACCTGCATAGGTTTTCGTGTTTGAGGGGATACTTTACCACCTAGTTTTGTTGTAAATGTTGGCCATGAGTTTTTGGTTTCGGGTGTAATTGTTCTTTCTGTTTTTATGTGTGCATTTGAGTAAATTAAAACTATGCTTCCCCACTTTCAGTCTTCCTAGAATCAAGACTTTAAGAAGCCCCTTTCCGATTTTGGTTCTTTGAGTCTTCAAATTTGGGTTGATTAGAATATTCACAAACCAGTAGCACTAAAGATTGGGGGATAGGAAGTTTTTAATCATACTTTGTAGCCATCATATATTTCATGATGAGAAAATAATAAACTGTTCAACTTTGTTAGGTTTGTTCATCCAACCTAGTTTTCTTTTTTTTCATTGTCTGAATAAAGTTTGAAAAAGTGCCCTCTTGAGAGAGCACCGGGGGTTCTGGTTTTTGTTTTTTTTTTTTTTTTTTTTTTTTAGTCTCAATGGTCTTTATATGGGTTTGTTTAGTCTATGGAAATTTTTTTAGTTGTATGCTTAGGATCTGTTCATTTTTCTGCGTATATGTTATACTTCAAAAAAAGTTTAAATTTTTTAAAAAATGGTACCTACTGGGGATGCCTGGGTGGTTCAGTTGCTTGGGCGTCTGCCTTCGGCTCAGGTCATGATCCCTGCATCCTGGGATTGAGCCCCGCATGCATCCGGCTTCCTGCTCAGCAGGGAGTCTGCTTCTCCCTCTCTCCCTCTGCTCATTCTCTCTCCCTCTCTCCCTCTCAAATAAATAAATAAATAACATCTTTTTTAAAAAAGTGGCACCTACTGTAATGGGATTTGTTAAGAACTCATGCTTAACTTCTGCACAGTCTTGGTAATTTTGTAATTTCTTAGGCATCCTCTTAGAATAGGCTACTAAAATAAAAATAGCATGTGAAGATGGATTCAGGTCATGTACATTGTGTAGAAACGTGTTTGAGTACTCATATCTCAACATGAAAGACTGGCCTAGCGTCTAGTCCAGATGCAGGTTTTCTGGTCTGATGTTCTACCACTTTTTCTCAGAGTTTCCAATTTTGAAATGCTGGGCTCAGTCACAAGTGGCAGCTCCTTGTGCTTTGAAGAATAAGGATATCTGCCAATGGAACAATATGAAATATAAATCAGTAAGTTAATACTTTATGTTGTTTTTCAATCATGCTACATTATTTAAAACTCATAATGTTTCTGTCACATTTAAGGGATTAGCATTTTCTATTCTACCATTGAAAGCTGTTTTTTTTGTGTTTTTAATGTTGTTTCTTTGCTACTAATGGCAGCAGTGGTTCCTCATTTCTATTGTTACAGAATCATTTAATTTGGGGACTGGAGACTTAGGGTTAGTTTATGCCTCATTGGTTCAGAGCCTAAGTATAGCTAATATGCTTTTTAAAGATGTGGAGTAGCAACGAAGAACAGTGCTACGTCCATCTGGTTTTACTTTATCTAGAAAAATGTTTCGACAGCTGATGTCCAAGAAATTACTGTCTATGTTTTCTTCCAGGAGTTTGATGGTTTCCTGTCTCACATTTAGGTCTTTAATCCATTTTGAGTTTATTTTTGTGTATGGTGTAAGAAAGTGGTCTGGTTTCATTCTTGGTTTTACTTTATCAGTACAACTTTATTTTATTTAGAACTTTTCATTAATTTTTGAACAACAAACAACAATTAGTTAACTTCATTATATGGCACAGAACGAGTGAGAAAAGGGTAATAAAGACTCCAAATAGTAGTATTTCAACTGTGATAAAGTTTCTAGACAGTTGTATTGCTATTTATATATCTAAATCCAGGTTGTGGCCAGCCATGTTTATAGTTTTGACCTCTGACCTTGTTTTCAGTTACTAAATTAGGTAAGTATTCTTACTTCATTAACATTGGCTTTGTCTAAAGAGTGTACAGTTTTCTATTTACCCTCTTTAGTTAACATGGTCTACTTCTCTCTCTTCAGAGTGGCGATCTTATACAACCATTTCTTTTCTTTCCCTCTTTTTCTGTCCTTTCCTTCCTCTTTTATGAGCTGCATTTTAACTGATGGTTGTAATATCTGTTTGTGTTTCTCTTTGACCCTAATTCTCTTTAATGCCTGCTTCCTTTGGTGGAATAGCACAATCTGTGTCATCATTTTTACAATTTACTTTTATAAGGAGTCAAATGAGTCTGCAATAAAAGTAAAATAAATTTAAAATGTTAAACCAACAGACAGACTGTCAGGTAAACGTAAAGCAGATTTGTTAATATGGCTATTGTAGATATTTAGATTTGAAGTATTTTCCTTGGAGTTGCTTTGAAGCCTGTCTACCAGCTAGCCTAGAAAACAACTACGTATGGTGAAGGCTTACTACAAAGCACTGCTATTTTGTAGTGGGGAACTCTCTTAGAACTGACAATTGGTAAGATGTATGACTGTGCTGATATCTTTTACAATGTAGAGTTGCTTTTGAGTAGATTTCCATTACTGTATGGAACCCGAATCTTTTTTCACACTCTAATATACATCTGGAGAATTACATGTGATTTTCTTATGTGAATGAAGAGTATTAATTAGTGTTTACAATTTATTAATTTAAAATACTGGTTGTATGCATTGCTACAAAATAAGTAATTACCTTATTAAAACATTTTGAATTCAGTTCTCTTTTAGACCACATAACTTGAAATAAGAGGTCATAATTAATGCCTTTGAATTGTATATGTGTCTATTAACATTTCTTGTTTATATATACCAGAAAAATAGGTGGCCGTTACTAAGGGGGTGATCTACATACACTAAGGCTTGTTGGTTTAAGACACCATTTTTTTGAAAGCTAAATTTCTGGTGGCTTTGTTTCAGATTATGCTGGTAACATTTGTTTGGGGTGTGAAATTATACTCCAGATATTTATAAAAAGGAACCAAAGATAAGAGCATTCCCAAGTTACCTAAATTTTAATGTTTTTAAAAACCTATTTTAAACCATAAAATTTCCTAGAGTTTCTAACTGACCCCCTTGATCTTCAAAACCAAAGAGAAAATAGAAACCAAGTTGAACTGTAGAAGAACTTGTTTTGCTGGTCAGGATGACAATGACTTTGATGTTTTAACAGTAAAAGATATTCAATTGTGTGATTTGTGAATAACAGACTTTTTAAAGGTATTTTGAAGAGAGAAACAGCAAAACAGGAGTGATTGGATACTTTAGCTTTATTGTTGTTTTAACGTTTTTCCTTTGGGGCTTTGAGAGAGAATTCTGTATTCTAATATGAAACGTAGCAAAAGGAAGTAAATGTTTATATTGATTACAGAGGTGACAATGGGAGATAGCTAGCATTGGGGGAAAGTAGTAGTCAAAACTAATGAGAATTTAAGGATTATTGTGATTGAGTCTGATTCTGTTATATTAAATGAAATGTTGAATCCAAAAGAATCACTCAAATAGTAATGTTACCTGTAGTGTAGCATTGGCTGAAAGATACTAAAAGAAAAATATTATATTAAAAGTCAAATACTGGTCTCACCTTAGGACATGCATTTTAAATGTCTCTAACCTCTCTCTCTCTCTCTCTCTGTCTAGGTATATAAGAACGTGACTCTACAGGTTCCAGTGGGACTGACTATACATACCTCTTTAGTATGTTCTGTGACTCTGCTCATTACCATCCTGTGTTCCACTCTAATCCTTGTGGCTGTTTTCAAATATGGCCATTTTTCCCTATAAGTTTTATGGAGTTTAATGCTTCCCATAAACCTAAATAAGACCTATTGACTTGCGATTAGAAGTATTGTTCTAGAATTATGTGTACCAGAGGAAATTTTGGATCACTTTCAACCAATTCCAGAATGTAGTGCTCTGTTGTTGTATAGACCTTTGATAATCTTCAAGCAAATGCCAATAGAAGAGGAAACTTAATTGTGTTAAATATTTATCTTGTGAGAAGTGATTTTATATCTTCATTCGGTTACGAAAATGAGTACTTTATATGTTAGAGACAAATTATTCTCATTTTATTGACTAGAAACATTTTAATTTCAGCTAAAAATTGAGAAAATCATTATAAATAAGAATAAAATATTTTGGATGAAGCAGTTTATTTAAACATTAATTTTGAATATTAAAGTTACTCATCCAGAGTTTAAAGAAAATAAAGTAGGATAGCTAAGAAATTATTGATATCAAGATTGATTATTCCTTAAAGCATTTCCATTCTCCTTTTGTATTTTATTATACTGTTTTGAATATATGAATTGGTTAGATGAAACTAAGTACTAAGTACTAAGACTTAGTACTGAATTTGTCAGGAAGACAATTCAGATTGTCATTTTTAGAGTATTTTTTATTAAGTTGTACATTTACAAAAAAAATCTTTTTTGTATCTTTTGCTCCATGCCAAACTTGGGGCTTGAACTCACGACCCTGAGATCAAGAGTCACATGCTCTACCGACTGAGCCACCCAGGTGTCCTTCTTTTTTGTATCTTCAGTGACTTCTTTTTTTTTTTTAAACAAAAGCTCTTATTCCACTATTTTTCTTGGGAAAAAATTAGAAAATAAAGTAAGTAGAAGCTACTTAAAAAATGAAAAGGTATGGGGCACCTGGCTGGCTCAGTCAGTGGAGCATATAATTCTTGATCTCGGGGTTTTGAAGTTGAGCCCCACATTGGGTGTAGAGATTACTTAAAAATAAAATCTTTGAAAAAAAAATAAAAATAAAAAGGCAAGCATGTCCTTCTGTTTATTTAGGGCAATGCATTGAGGACAAGCATGTTCCAGAACAGAAGCCAATAAACCAGGGTTTGGTTGACAGTATTTGTTTCATAGAGTAATGTAATGATACACATTTATATATGCTAGCACTGCTTAATTTCCTAAAACATTCTGGTGTTTTTATGGGAATAAATCTTTTATAATTTGACATGTATGACTTGACTAGTCATAATAGTTCTTTTTGAAGGTATGTTTAAGAACTTGAAAAAGGCAACCAAGTGCCATAAAACAAGAAATATTAGAGACCACTAAAATTTCAAACCCAGTCTAATTTTTTACTTAGCATTTTCTTACAAGAAAGAATTCCGTGTTTTTTACAAGCATTTCTTTCACAATGGGATTAATATAGTGGCACTGAAATGAAATTATATGTCAGTTAAAATTCAGTTAACATCAACAGACAGCATATTGAAGTATGAATAGACAGGGGAACATGGTACCTCTTAAGAGCATATGTGGTGGGGAGGGCAGAGTACATATATATATTTTTTTCTTTTGCATATCAGAACCAAGTTTCATCAGTATTTAAATAAGTTTTCAAGTTACTATTTGAGATGGTGGCCTAGGACATGATTCAGCCATTTATTCATTTATACAGGTATTCAGAGGTGTAATAAAAATGTAAAAGTGAAAGAAGAGTACTTTGATATGACTCTTCTTGCCTAATAAATGGTTGCAGATGACATCACTTTTTTTTTTGACATCACTTTTGATATAACAGAACATTTCTGGTTTTGAACTCTTTATTATCTTTGGATACTTGAAAAATGAATAAGCATTTTATTTTTTTAACTTAAAAAAAAATTTTTTTTAAGTAAGCTCTGTGCCCAACGTGGGGCTTGAACTCATGACCCTGAGATCAAGAGTCGCATGCTCTACCAACTGAGCCAGCTGGGCACCCCTAAACGCTGTATTTTAAATTTTTTTAAATTTTTATTTTTTAAAGATTTTATTTGAGAGTGAGAGCATGAGAAGTGGGGGAAGGGACAGAGGGAGAGGAAGAAGCAGGCTCCATCCCAGGACTCCAGGATCATGACCTGAGCCTAAGGCAGCCGCTTAACCAACTGAGCCACCGAGGCGCCCCAAGGACTGTATTTTTTTTTTTTTTAAGATTTTATTTATTCGACAGAGAGACACGGGTAGAGAGGGAACACAAGCAGGGGTAGTGGGAGAGGGAGAAGCAGGCTCTCAGCTGAGCAGGGAGCCCGACGTGGGACTCGATCCCAGGACCCTGGGATCATGACCCAAGCCGAAGGCAGACGCTTAACGACTGAGCCACCCAGGCGCCCCGCAAGCCCTGTATTTTTAGTTTTGTAATTCTGTGTATGGCCTTTTTTGTTTAAAGCGAGGAAAATGAGTACTGTCCTCTTGGTCATTTTGTTCCAGTATTTGTTGAACTTTTATGGTTTATATTTTTTAAAGTATTAGGTTATGTTTGTTTGGGTAAACATAACAGAGACATGGGGTACCTCAACTAAGGGTGGTGATGGGGCAGAGATGTGTGTGTGTGTGTGTGTGTTTGTGTGTGTCTAAGCCACTCTACCAGGAATTTAGATGATTTAGCTAGATCTCATGGAAGATGGTACATATATGGCCTGGGAACTGGAAAGATCTAATGCAGCTCTAATGATTTCAGAATATGATGAGTTTAAGGACTATTCCAGTAAGATATTCTATTTATTTCAGGTATTCATTTATATTTTGATAATTGGTGCTTAAGATATGGAGATAAATTAGGGTGAGGTGACCAACACCTATCTGCATTATCCTCCAAACTTACAAAATATGCTACTGGCAGGTAGTTGAATGTAGGGTTTGGTAGGCTGTGAGAGAATAGAATAATATGGATTAAGTATGCTCTTCAGGATTGTCCTAACCAGTGATAGGATGGGTAGGTTTAGCTATCTATCTGGTTTCTTGCATCTCAGACCTTACTTTTGGAATCAGTCTCCTCCTGAAGTATACCTTTTTAATGAGTTCCTTTAGTAAGTCTTTGTCTTTTTTTTTTAATTGAAGTATAATTGACATACAATGTTATATTAGTTTCAGGTATACAACATAGTGATTCCACAAGTCTATACTTTATGCTCTGCTCACCACAGGTGTAGCTACAACACTATTACAGTACCAGCAACGGTCTCTGCTTTTGTCTGAAAGCTTTATTTCACCCTCATATGACTGATAATTTAGCACAGTCTACACTGGTAAATTTGGTTATTTTATCTTGGTACTTTGAAAATATTTTTCCACTGTTCACTGGCACCCATTGTTGTGTTGATAAATCTTCAGAAATTTAATAGTTGTTGCTTTGTAGGGTATGTCTTTCCTTTCTGGTTGTTTTATCTATGGTATTCTGCAGTTTCATGTTGATAAGTTTGAAAAGATTTCTTTTACTTATCCTGGTTGGGCTTCACTTTGCTTCCTGAGTCTGAAGGTTCTTGTCTTTATTCAGTTTTGGAAAATTCTTAGCCATTATCTCATCTACTATCCATTTTGTTTTCTCTCTTCTCTCAGTTCTTGCTAAGCATATGGTAGACCTTCACAGTCTATCCCCATGTCTCTTGATCTTTCTTTCATACTTCCTTTGTCTCTGGGCTGCTCTCAGTAATTTCTTTAGATCTGTCATCCAGTTTACTAATTCTCTCTTCAGTGTGTAATCTGCTTTTTAACCCAAACATTGGCTTTGGTTGCAATTATTAAATTCTTTATTTGTAGAAGTTCTACTTGGTTACTTCTCAAAGCTTCATGGTCATTTTTTAAAAAACAGTATCTTGTTTCTTACTCCTATATTATTTTGTTTAATCATTTTAATAAACTTATTTTATATTCTGTAACCAACAACTCCACTGTCTAAAGTTCACAAGCTTCATTATTTTGTTTGTGGTTTCTGTGGATTCATTCAAGGTGGCTTATTTCCTCAGGTATATTAAAATTATATTTTGGGTACTCATATTTAGCTTTTGAAATCCTGTTTATCCTTGGAAATCCTTTCAGTCCTGGGTTAAGAGTGAACCTGTGCAGTGAGGATTTGTATTTGTTTCGTCCAGGCCTCCAAACACTACCAGCCTGGGACCAGTTTCTTGACTTGAGGTTTCCTGGACAGTATAGGTACTATAAACTTGAACTCTCAAACCCATGTGAGGGAAAGCTTGTGGTTATGAATTCTAAAAGGGAGATTGTTTCCCCCTTCATGCCAAGTCCAGACTAAAACATACTGATGTTTGCTTGTCTCCTTGGGCTGGTACAGGGGATTTTTTTTAATCCCCAGTCTATTCTTGGAGCACATAGCCCTATGAGTTTTCTAGCCTTATGCAGGGTCACTGTCCCAACTCCTTGTATAGGCCCAGGGCCTTGTTTTTGGTCTTCTGTGCAGCCAGTAAAACCACAGAGATTTCTGAGATAGGTACATAACCCTCAGTACAACCATAGCTTCACTATCCTGCTTGCCACTCAGGTTTCTTGCTCCCTCTTTGGGTTGTGTGGAGTTCGGAAGACTATCAGAGGTATTCCTCTTTCTTTCCTGAAAGCTTAGTTATGCCTTTGAAGGGATGTTCTATTTTATCCAGCATTTCAATGTGTTTCATAATGGGACTTTTTCGGGTTATCTAATACTAGTGTGCCATATTGATCTTTGATTCCTTTCTCTCCACATCAACTGGGTTTTTATTCTACATCTATACATAAGTACAATCTAGCTGCCTTCTCCATTTCCACTATCTCCTTAGTGTCCATCATGATTACTGCCTTTCTAGTTCATTTCCCTTCTATTCTTGAATCTGTATACTACATTTTCCACATAGCAATCTAGTGATCTTAAAGTATATGCCGTAGAAAACCTGAACAGACCTATAACCACTAAGGAAATTGAAGCAGTCATCAAAAATCTCCCAAGAAACAAAAGCCCAGGGCCAGATGGCTTCCCAGGGGAATTCTATCAGACATTTAAAGAAGAATTAATACCTATTCTCCTGAAACTGTTCCAAAAAATAGAAATGGAAGGAAAACTTCCAAATTC